TACAGGATGTTTAATGATATTGGCAACATATGGGCAAGTTTCACTATTATGAAACACATGCCAGATGCTTTTGATCTGAGTAATTCTATATGAATAGTTGGAAGCAGGGATGGATGGAATGACAGTGTCCCTGTCTGCGCAGCCGCTCCGAATGAGGAGCGTGAGTGTGCCTTCTACGACCACCAGCAGCAGCTGGACGAGCAGCATGTGGACGGCGTGGGCCACGTCTTGCGGGAGAACACCACGGTGCGCTGTGTCCAGGAGAGCCGCTGCTACGGCCTCTGGGAGAAAGCGCATGACGGAGGCATCCGGCTGGTCAAGCAAGGTCCGCTCACTTGTGGTCACATGACCTGCCCAGCACCTGCAAGGGGGCCCGCTCTCACCTCTCGCCATCTCTCTTTAGGTTGCTGGGCTCACGTTAGTGACCAGCAGGATTGCCATGATGACCGCTGCGTGGTTACAACAACGCCCCTGCTGATCCAGAACGGCACGTACCGCTTCTGCTGCTGCAGCTCCAATATGTGCAACCTCAACTTCACAGAGGACTTCCCTCTCTTTGGGCCCACCAGCACCCAGCCTCTATGTAAGTGATGGAGGGAATGATTGTAAAAAGAGTGAGGGATGGAGTGACTGATGCAGATTGAATCAGGGAGTGAAGGTTGAGGAACTAATGGGGAGAAGACATGAGAGATTATACAGGAGTTGGTGAGCAGGGTGGCTCACGCTGAAGGCACCTCCGCAGGCATTTTGGACACAGATACACCTGCCTACACCGGATCTTTAATTCAAAAGTAATCTTTTAAACAGTTGAATTAAAGCTGCAAATTTGTCTTTCTCCTTGTAGAATATTTTTCTGGCTTGTAAGCTGAAGTTACCTTGCATTGTGTGTTCCCTTAAATCCGATAGCTATTTTATCATTGTGTGTTATGAAGCGCCCACTTTAAAGCTGCCTCTTCCCTGCTAGCCTCATCAAAGCTGCCTCTCTGCCTCTATTCTGAATGCTGTCCTCCCCAAAGTTGTATGTATGTTGGGAAGTAAGTGCAAGATTGCTAATCCTCTTGGAGCAGGGGCTCTGAGTGCAGGGATCCTCAGGAAATGCTCCTTTTGTTCATGAGATTCGCTGAATCACTGAAATGGACTCCCCTGTAGGGAATTCGAGGGCTTTGCCACAGAGAAGTGGCATGCATGGTTTGAGCTGTTAGGTTTAGGGGCTGGCCCTTTGGGGAGGCCTTTTAATGGTAACAGTGGGAAAGAAGTTTGTGTGTGTGTGTGGGGATTAGGTTTTTATTACATTGTGGGGGCCAAATGTCCCCCACAATGTAATAAAAACCTGTTTTTTTTTTACATTGTGGGAACCATTTTTCAGGTCCCCACAAAGATCTGTGACTGAAATCAAAAAAGTAAAAATGCCATAAAGTCTGATATTTTCTTTTACTTATAGTTAACATTAGGACTGGGTAGGGGTTTTCCGAATAGAAATGAATGAAGAGTCCCCACAGAAATATAAGTACAAATCTGTGTGTGTGTGTTCGAGAGTGAGAGAGAGAGAGTGAGAGAGAGAGAGTGAGAGAGAGAGAGTGAGAGAGAGAGAGTGAGAGAGAGTGAGAGAGATGTAGACAAAGGAAGGGGTTTACAGGTAGGCAGGGTTGTATGCCATGGACAGAGGTCGCTGTAAGAGCATGGTGATGGCTGACCTCCCAACCTCAACCCAGGTATCTGTTGTTCCTCCTGTCCTCCAAATCTATAGAAAAGAAACTGTGAAGCCAAGGGTGGTGATAACTGCATGAGTGAGTGGGCTGGGGACAGGAATGGTGAACAGTAGGCAGATAGCCTTGGCACTCTTTCTTTATCCCCATTCCTGTCCTTTTAAAAAGCCTCAATCAATGTATTGATTTTGTAGGGGACCAGAAATTCCAGGCTAATGTTAAAGGTGTTTGGATTCATCCATGTTGCTACTGATAATTAGCAGCATTCCAGTGAGCCTTAATAAATGGAAAACAGACTGGAGATGTTTGCTCACATGCTTCTGTGTGCTGCCCACCTCCCTGTCAGCTGTGGAAGCTGGTGGTGGAGTGTAGCTTTAAGAGTTTGTTGTCCAATTACTGGCTATGCAGTGTTAGTTGCCAGGCAGAATCCACACCCCCTAGCCAGTGTCCCTAAAGCACCTTTGCCTTTCACCTGCCTTTCTTAGCTCTCTCTCACTGTTGAGCTCTGCCAGTTGCTTCTCACTGGTTATTCTATAATAACAATTAACTCCTACTCGAGGTGACGGCACATTGCAATTGCAGCCATTGAAATAACATCAGCTTTTCACTGGACCGCAATGGGGGCTGATGTATAATGCTGGTTAAAATAATAATGTATGCAGCTTCTCTATTTACATGGTGCATTCCCACTGTTTTAAGCATGACGGCAGACGGTTAGCCCCATGGTCACAGACATTCCTGTAAACCGGAGCGCTGTCTGTTAAAGCCACAGGAATGGCTTGCAGGCTATTTAAGTGAAATAGTTCTGGTAGAATATCGATATGTATGAATAGGCAAGAAAATGCCACGTCTCTAAATAACTGGCAAGCAGAGAGAGTGCAGAGGATCCCCGTGCAGGGCATGAGTGTGCGGGCAGGAGTGCACGTCTGGGTGCCAGACTGTGTGTGCCACCTCCGTCTCAGTGCACACGCTGTTGCAAGTCTCTCTCTAATAATTTGTCCCTGAGGATCTGACCTTCACACAAGGCTCATAAAAGCACATTGACACAGACATGCGCCCATAGGGCCCTGGGGTGTGTAACTAAGGGGTTAGCTGAGCTAGCGTAAGGGATAAAGGGATGGACCAGACCGTAGTGCTGATGAGGTGCTTCTGCAAAAATGAGTGATTGCCTTCATGATTGCGTTTCTTCTGGTACCCTGCATGCTTCCAAAGAACATAGTTATTGTGTTGCCAAAGCGAAAGATTCTCTCCGTGCATTACTGAGCAGTGTGTGTGTGTGTGTGTGTGTGTGTGTGTGTGTGTGTGTGTGTGTGTGTGTGTGTGAAGAGCTGAATGGAAAAGCATCCCTCTTCTGATTCATCTCCAAAGAGAGAAGGTATTACATCACTATTCCATTTGTCAGTAACATCTCTGCCAGTTTCTAGCAGCCAGAGCATACGGGCTGTGGGGGGGGGGGGGGGGGCGGGTCAGGAACTCAGGTTTGCTTTAGCGACGATTGGTCAGGGTTCCAGTGCTAATGAAGAGAAGTCGGCTGCATATGGGTTGTGTGTGTTTGTGTGTGCGTGCATGTGTGTGTGTCTCCAAAATGTCCCCCACGATGTAATAAAAACCTGTTTGTTTTTTTTTTTTTTTTACATTGTGGGGGCCATTTTTCAGGTCCCCACAAAGATCTATGAATGCAATCGAATAACTAAGAATGCCGAAAGTCTTGTATTTTTGGTTACTTATGGTTATGGGTAGGGCCGGGGAGTGTGTGTGTGTGTGTGTGTGTGTGTGTGTGTGTGTGTGTGTGTGTGTGT